GGTTCGATTCCCAGGCGCTCCCAGTTCACCTAGATATAAATGGGTACCTAAGTTTACAACTTAAGAGGCAGTGAAGGTCGTCGAGTGCAGTTCTAGCCATCCTATTTCAAGGACTAAAAACTAGTATCTTATCCATGTCCTATTTCACCTAAGTCCTAATACTGTATGCATAAAGGCCACCATAGCTTGGGATGACCGTTGGGAAGAAAGAAACCAGTGGTGTGTGTAAGATCTTCCCATTATTCTTGCTAATTTTCTCCGGGACTATTTCGAAGTTCCAATAAGCATCTTGAGGTAAACCCAGTACCTAGCAACACAACAACTACTTTATAACGTGTCTGTTAATTGTGGAGGATATACACCAACCAACAGTGCGAGGCGCAGCAACTTGACAATTCGAGTCTACTAAAGGTTAAAAGGTTCAAATAATTCTATAAGCTGTATGGAAACAATTTCCCATAATATAAATATGAATTATGAGCCAATATATTTTTTTCTGTCTTATAAGTGTACAATTGTATACAGCGCACAATTTGGAGTCGTAATATGACCATTATCACACCACAGTAATTCATTTTTATTTGACTATTTATCACTGTTTAGGGCCAATTGATATCATCGCCACACCAATCAAGGGAGGAGTATAAAAATACTAAGAGTGAAAACGGGGAATTTTTTATATAAGTGAGACAACGAACTACCCCCAATGCGGAACTTCTCAGTGTAAAAGCCTAGCCCCATGACGTCAGCCCCAAGAAGCATGTGGCGCAACTAATCTAACGACAACCTGGAGAGAAATATAGAAATTTTGCATCTAGAATATAATTATGTACTATAACTGATTATATGAAATATTAGGGACTTATATGAGTCCTGAGAGGGACATTCCTGGACTGGGGTGGGGATGACTTATGTCACTTCATCCCTTTGAGATGTATTAATGTTTTTTGTATCTCAATAACGTATCAATCAATCACAACCTGGTGACCTGCCTGACTCTGCCAACACCAATCTCGATTATCGTGAAGGGGTAATTTAGGTCAGGCTTCAAAGGTCTGTATATTTTATGTGTCAAGAAGACGATCCCAGGGTTTTTATGGGTTAAAAAATCAGTAGCTAACTTTGAATCCTCCGAATGTAAATAAGCATTATAATCAATGTGAATTTGTATACATGGTTAAGGGCCAGTTCAGGGATCCAAAGTTGATTTGATAGATATAGAACTTTCGAAATCATAAACACGCTAAAATGCCTTCTTTACACACACACAAACACACACATGAGCTCCAAAACCCATGAAAACACTTTTTAATAATAAAGTCTAAGTATGACTGTGTGCCCCCCCCCCTTCATGGATAACGCCTCTTATTGCTGAAGAAAATTTTCCCGCTATATTTTACATTCATGCTTACATTATCGAGATCAGATATTTTCCATCAGAATCTTACGTCTCTTGATATGGTATAATAGATGAACATATACACACAGACTGGCAACTGTGGAAAAGATCAACACTTGGCACAGATGAGAATTCTGGCGCGGTGACAGTGTTAAGAGTTGCTGCCCCGCCTCACAGCCCAACTTTCATACACGTACACATACACTTATACGGTTTGGTTCAATCTGGTTTTGTCTACTTCACACCGCATCACTAATATACACACACGGTTTGGTTCAATCTGGTATTACTTCACCGCACAACTCATACACACACACACACATACACACACGCGCGCGCGATTTGGTTCAAACTGGTTTTACCTACTTCACCACGCATCTTTTGCACACAGACACAGTTTGGTACCTATCACACCTACCTTTTGGGGGAACAGGTTGAAGAAGTCAATAAGGAGACAGCAGTCGTAGGTGTTCATTAATAGAAGAAGGCCTTGGTAATAAATGACGTGGGTGTTGGCGACCACTCACCCCTCCATGAACTTGACCCTACACTGTACACTATCCTGGATGAAAATAGCACGGAATGGCCATGAACAAGGAACACCATAACGAACTAGAACTCACCTTAATTTTGTCGTTAGGCTCTCGACACTAGCACCATCTATTGGACAAGCTAAAAATCATAGAAAATGGTCATTGGTGGACTGCCAATCTTTAACAGTAACTCTAGTATTTTCCGTTGATTTTACTTTCTCTACTATCGACATTCATTTACCTATTTTTATTTACAATTTCACCACTTATCACATTATCACACATGTATCTTTAAATTCTGTCATAACTGCAGCTGAAAAATATATATTACAAACACGAAGCAACTGATCAAGCACGATATCAATTACTACACTCTATGGAAGGAAAATGCAGGGGTTAAAATGTATTTGTTCCCATATTGGCACCACTGAGTGACAGATCCGTAGCTTGAATCTAAATGTGTTATAAATGCTCGTGGATATGTGCTTTCAAATTGCAGTTTAAGACCCATTGAGTAGCCCCCCCCCCCTACCTTTATTTTAGGGTAGTTCTACCTCTATCCACATGCAACACAAAATTGACGGAAATGAACAGGAAAAAATAAGTCCATTTAACTTTGTATTTCGCCTCAGACCACTCTTACTTTTTTCTATTGGTTTCAGGCATTTCTAATTGTACATTTGAAAAAAAAAAAAATTACACCAAAAACAACTGTTAAAAGGAGGGAGGTTACTCGATGGGTGCTAGTAAGCTGAGTGGTGAAATGATAAATTAAACTGCAATTTAACTGTCACTGCTCATGAATTAACATATATATAACTATGAACTTACCTTTTCCTGCCTTTTGGGAAGAAATTAAACCTTAGCTCTATTATTTCCTTTGTTTTTCTCACAAACACAACGGTGGTCAGTGTTTGGATCCATGTTTATATCTACCGCCACACCACCAGACAGCCAACCAGCGCCATCTCTAGGACAAGCATTCAACTCATTCAACTAATAGGGATTGAATTATTCCCGGAAGATTAATAGCTCCTTATAATAATTCCTTGGCCATGAGTTTACGCCACGGGGACGGGGTATTGTCATATTTAATGATTGTGTGTGTGTCGAAATAACCTCATTTAAGTTAGTAAAAAATACGTGATAATACTCAGATTAATAATATTATTTTTTGCTTATGATCTAAAGTATTCTTACCTGTGTCAGCTTGCTTTATGAATTCCAATCCTGAGACACTGGCTACCTTCCAAAATGAGAGACCTTTCTGCCACACAGACATATTGCTTATAGCCAATAAGTTTGGATCAACGTGAAGGTCGTCCAGATCTTGTCTACTCCCGACCGTGTTTGTTGGTACAGATGTCTCAGGAGGGTTGGCCAAACGAAGGTGAATGGCCCAGATGAATAAAATAAGGTTCAACAAAGACTACAAATGATAAAATTTCCTTTAGTAAAGTTCTTAGAAAACCGTTTCCAATAAGTCATTAGCTGCGTGAGGGAAAGTTAGGTCTGGTTGAATGAATGATCAGGGTTTTTTTTGTCATCCTTGTTATACTATCTGTGTTGTAAGAAACTAACACCTGGTGAACGATGCTTATGTCTCTGGTAGCTGAAATACCCACAACAAAACTGCATTATTATTCACACACAAAACCATAATTCTGTACACTGCGGGTATATAGCTAATGCTGAGCTTAGTTCCGCAAGCGTCTGAATGTGATATATATCATTTCTATACATTGCTTATCTGAAAACCTCAAGTTTCGTTATCGGTGTAGTACCAGTAAAATTGCCACAGCCATGTTCCTTATTTAGTTGTCGGATACTAGATCACTGTCTTAATTTATTACAATATTGACACTGATATGCCACTCACCAGGAAATACATCAATCTAGAAAGCAACGTTGTCAAGCTTGTCAGCCGACGACGCCTACAGTACTATACAGTATTAGGTTCAATAAAGCCACCACACGACCATTCTGAAAATAGAACTAATGAAATGTGAGTAAACAAAAAGCCAAGGATAACGCTGACTCATTATTTTGACGCCTATGTAGAAACTTGGCACAAACTGGGGCGTCAAGGTCGTGGTGCGACCAATCAGCGTGTATCTACCTATTAAATGCACCTTTTGTTTAAATCGTTCTGAATTGCATTACATATAGAACAATGGAACTAACGCCGATAAGTCTCCATGTACTTCCCTTTATGATTGTGACGCTGTGTGAAGATCAATGTATTACATAGATTCTTCAATTCATAGCTTCTCCGGTGGTGTGTGGTAACTGTCAGCTCTGTCTAGTCTCAACATACTGTGCTATGGCAAATGTTATGGTGAGTGCTCAATGCAGCCTGCACGCACGTATACAGAGTGTTCAGAGTCCCATGATGATTTGTGTTTACAGATCCTTTTGGGGAAGTAATGCGGATATGTACTCCATTATTTTCTGTATATACAGTAGATGTGTTATTCACCGTGTCCGTTATGACTGACACTACCTTGTATAAAACGAAATACAAACTGTTGTGATGCAATCTTTACAGCTCCCAAAAACGGAGTCACGGACATAAATGAAGAGTACTGTACATCTTCGTACAGAAAATAGTGGGAGTACATACATGTAAACACAAATATCAAATAAAGGACTTTGTGAACACTCCCCTTGTGTAGTAATTGATCAAGGACTCCGATATTGGATATTCTTTGATCTTGGTATTTACGTGAGTTGCCGTAATAAATAAATTATAAGTTATTTAGCTTACTACAGATAACATTTGTATGCATCAACATACTAGCCAAATATTTTTTCTAACCTAGGCCTATGGACACTCACTATAGAGTACTTAAAAACATTTCTGATTTCAAATAATCATATCGGTACTTTCTATTGTTACCCAAGAAAAAAATTAATTGAAAATGTAACACAACATCAGATTAATGAGTTATTAAAAAAATGCGGTTCATCAAATTGAAAATAACCCAAGTTTGCACAGCCACGGTATTGATGCGCAATGTGTGGTAAACTGCGCGTGTTTGTGTTGTGGAACAAGAAAAACACTCCTCCAAATGTCTTCTCGCTTACTTTATTTTGGTCTGACATTACACAAAATATTTTTCTATACTGGAAGCTGTCAAATTCCGTTGTTTAGGGCATCAGGATACTCTTCCACTGGTATGAGCCAACAACACACAAACAGTACTGGTATCTACACTAACCATTAGTATTCAACATGTTACACATTACCTTAAGTTTAACAGCATAGGAATGGAAAAAATAAATTATACCAACATATTGAAAATGAGAAATTTACTGTTTGTAAAGCGTTATGGGTATTCAGTGTGTTGTAAGCTCACACAACTGGAGAACTTAAGTGATATGTGCGAGAATCTGGAAAACGAGACTTGTCGCCCGTCACATCCCTTCATACTGTACAGGACGACGCTCTGGTAATCCGGTTCCTCTTGAACAAGTCCCATTAATGCATAACTTATTGATTTTATTACAATATTGCCTTCCAATTATTGCATAGAAACAAAGGCAGCAATAATAACTACATAGTTTGCACAATTGATTTTTGGTGAGTATTTTATAACATTATCTTACATACATGAACACACGTACTTTTATGTCGGCACACAGCCTATTATTAACCTCAGTTTACATAATCATAAGAAAGCTTATAAAACTATACAGTAGGTCGCTATTTCTATGAGACAAAACTTCAACAAAATACTGTATTGACAAATATGAGGTCAACCTTCCCTATACCGAGGCCGCTGGTGACAGCCAGTATCACCTACAATCACCTTCGGGAATATTATACATACAAATCACGGATCTTTATAACGCCACTTTCAGCACACGATCATATTCTTCACTGTATCCGCTGTAATATTAAAAAATGCAGTAGGAATTGTAAAGAACGCTTTAGATGTCCGTTATGCGTTTAATGACAACTCCACGTATCTTTGTCACAACAGACAAGTCAAAGAACAGTAATGTGCAGAAAATTATGAAATACAAACCCAATTTCGCATATGTAACTTCCTCAAGAGAGTCTGTAAACACCAATGTAAAAGGGCTTTGTAAACACCCTGCAAAATTATGTGCATGTAAAATATATACCAATCACAGAAGTGCAGTTCAGTAGCAGTGGTGATATGACGCAATATTTACACACACGGACCCGAGACACCAGCTATAGCACTATACCATGTGACCAACAGCAACTCTGTCAGATACCAGACATATCAAATCTGACAATGAACCAGGAATCGTTACGTGCTGAAATATTTTAAATTGTCACCATGCATATGCGATAATATTACATAAACAGGCTCCATTTACCCGCTTTGTTGTTTACAAAAGTCAGACACAAGTAAAAAATATCACGATCTACTGAACTGTGCAATACAATAGCGTTAAAATTACCCGTTCCAAATAAATCTAAAGCATGAAGCATAATATAACTTCCTTGATAACAATGTAACTCACTATATGCCAGACCAGTGTTTTGCCCTGTTACTGCCTGACATGCCGCACGCAGTTTGAGTGTTGCGATACTTGGTGTCTCGGGCCGTAACGTACAGTAGTGTTGGGATTTTCCTGCTTGCCTCCCCCACCAACCGTCACTTGACATTACTTTACATGAACAAACTTTCCAGTTCCAACACTTAATTTAAAAATAATTTCAAGCTTGTTGTGAGTAAAATCCAGGTTACAATGCATTTTTTTACCAATCAACCAATATATATATATATATATATATATATATATATATATATATATATATATATATATATATATATATATATATATATATATATATATATATATATTCCTGAATAATCGGGTTCTCATGCCTCAATTTTCTCAGGAATTTTCTGTAATGACAATTTCCTTGGAATAACTTCTTAGAGTAGGTTGAATACTGTAAGCCTCTAAATCATTTTAACAATCATTAACTAATACATTACATTACATTACTAACCTTATTTGGGTTTAAATTTTCAAAGTTTCTTCAAATGAACACTCCTCGTAACATGCACCTCGGCTAACTTTAACTGGTTGACCAATATCACAAAAACAACCTTCCTTCCAAAATGTCACCAAAGTTATACCGTGAGTAACAACTCTTGGCATTCACTTAATACCGATTATACAAAATCAGGGTAGAGAATTCTCTGTTAATTTTACCCAGCGTTAAATTTCAGTAATAAGAAATTGTAGACGATTACTGTACACATCCAAAATGAACAGACTATTGACTATGGTTTTTGGTATACAGTAATTCTATTAATTTATTTGGGCGTTACTGTCGTGATTTAGTTTAATAAGTAAATCAGTTAGAGGTGCTGTACAATATTCTTACATCTTAAATTAGGAGGAATATTCATCATACTAGCCATTGTGAAGCTTGACTTACACCATATTGAAAGATTCTTATGTTTTTTCCTAAGACGAACAGCATCACGAGTACTGCACGCTGTTGAGGCAATCCTTGAGAAAATTTACATAAGTCAAAAGTATATAATATTTGTATCGACTTAACTAAAGCTTCCTTTATTCAAATTAGTATGCGTTTGTTTCACTTTTAATTGTAATAATTAATAATGTTGTGATCGTGGGGAAAGAAAGACATTGTTAGTCTTCGCTGTTGTCAAGTATTAAGAGAACGGTTTCCAGTTTCCCCCTCTAAAATAAATTTCCAAGAAAATAAAATTCCATCTATAAACCTACATCTACTTCATCTAGTCCTGCATTTGAGGTGTTCTGGTTAAATTATCAAACTCACTTGATATTATTTAACGGAGTTCTTCAAGATAGCTTCTTTGTGGCGCCCATTTTAACAGCCGAAGCTCTGGCAGAGCGAACACCACTGTGGGACTAACAGGTATACAGTATAGTAAATTACCACACAACTATCTAACCTGATCCAACCTGGATCATAGCCTACTGTATTATGAACGAATATTCCTGCTCCTTGTGTCAGGCACCTTCCTCCACTGATACGCGGTGATGTATAAAGTGTGTTCCGTGACCTTACATTTGTTTTTACGAGTCTAGTAATTCACAAAATACTAAATTCAAACAATATATCCTTTAATATATATATATATATATATATATATATATATATATATATATATATATATATATATATATATATATATATATATATATATATATATATATATATATATATATATATATATATATATATATATATATATATATATATATATATATATATATATAATACCAAAATGTGCACTATGAACAGTATGAAAATATTTACTAAAACAGTGTTGGCAAGGGTAATATAAATATTTCGAGTATTGGAGAGTACAGTATCTGAAGAGGACACAGTGATATACTTTTAATTGACAGCACAACCGTAACAGCGCCACCACAACAAAGACACCTTGGCAGTCAGGAAAATAACTAGTTCCACAGACTTGTAACAGTACACTCACATACACACATAGGCATGAGAAATGGGCGCCAATTTAAGGCAAGTACGAAGAGTGTGCCTTTAATACTGGCCACAAACAAACACTGAAATGGGTAAGACGGTGATGATTAACTCACAGAAATGGCGAAGATTGACGCTATAGTGCGTGGAAACTATATAAGAAAAACAAAATCTGAAACAAAAAGCTTCTGAAATCCCTGACAGCCACTAAAGTTTGTGGTGTATAAAGATACTTCATCATACTAACATTATTTACATATTTCTGACAGTCTGTATGGTAGCGTCAAAAGTTCAAGGCAGAGTATTTTTTTTTCTCTCATAGGGTGTTACTGTGACTGGTCGCCTATAGTAACTGACTAATTTCCTAGGAGCAACTTTGATTTTCAACACCCCACTTATATCAAAAGACCAAAACAGTACAATATATCATGTCTTTCCAGTTTTAGTTACAGGAATGTGGAGAACAATAACAGAGATTCGAGATACTTGGATAATAAGAGTAGCCTCGCAGTAGTTCTTATACAGTACATCACAAAATCAGAACCTTTACTTAAATTTTAATAGTGATATGGGAGAAATAAAAGTTTAATTGATATAGGAACGAGTTTCATTGTCTTTGTCATCAGATATAACATTGTGTTCACAGACATCCGACGTCATCCACAGGGTAACACTTAGCATCTCTTAAACGGGACTAAAATAAATGACAAAAACTCCCTTGAAATAGTGCTGATATAAGGATAACTACCATCATACAGGGTCTTGTTTCTGAAGGTGACAAAATAATAAGTGTACAACAGCCTCGACAAAATCCTTCGGGGATAAAAAGTGGGAAATCGACCCAAATTGATTTTTGTTCTTAATGACTCGACCAAATCAGGGAAATTTGGAAATTAATAATTCTGGGTGCGAATAATTACTTTTCCAACCCACCAGAACTAAACTAAACTATTTTTAAACACTTCGCTTAATATCGTGCTTCTACTCGTATTAGATTACTCCACATGACGTTTACTGTAAGAGTGCGTGTACCATCAACACCTCAGACTAGGCTATGCTATACACACAACCCTCTACACCTATGATACACAACGTAGGCTACATGTGAACCTTGCCTAACACTCACGATGTAAACTCTGGCTAGGCTAACAATTACCCCCCCATCCCTGTCTCGTTTAAGAATAGGCCATGGCTATAGGATGCTACACTCGAGGACTTGGCCATGGCTAGGATGCTACACTCGAGGACTTGGCCATGGCTAGGATGCTACACTTGAGGACTTGGCCATGGCTAGGATGCTACACTCGAGGACTTGGCCATGGCTAGGATGCTACACTCGAGGACTTGGCCATGGCTAGGATGCTACACTCGAGGACTTGGCCATGGCTAGGATGCTACACTCGGACTTGGCCATGGCTAGGATGCTACACTCGAGGACTTGGCCATGGCTAGGATGCTACACTCGAGGACTTGGCCATGGCTAGGATGCTACACTCGAGGACTTGGCCATGGCTAGGATGCATCTACTCTAATTTACTGTAGGTTTTGTCTACACCATCGCTAGGGCACCACTAATCTTCTTGCCAATAAGGTAATAAGTTAAAAAAAATAAATAAATAAAGTCTGGGATAATTTTCTACACCCAAGCCATCTACTACACCAAGTAACAGACAGTTTACACAATATGTAAACTGTGTGTTGAACATTTCGTCAGATAGAGGACTCGTCAAACAACAATATCACTTTTGAGTACGATCACCATGTAGCATTTCGTGACTTCTCCTTGGGATATTTTACGGACACTGGCTAAGCTTGTGGTTGTTTATTTTCTTCCTGCTCTTGCTATGCATTACCAAGCGCGTGTGTGTGTGTGTGTGTTTTTTTTCCTTCAAGAGCCAGAGTAAAATCGGGGACTTTGGACTGTTTGGTACCTATGGCGCCTAGTGTTGTCTGCTTCCCATGCTGCCGACGCGACCTATCAGCTGAGCACAAGTGGAATCCAAAAATCAGTCTTTTTTGGGGGGGGTGAATGCAACAATTTAACGTTGAATTTAATGATATGATGAATTCTGACACTTACGATTCATTAATGATACAAAATGCATCATATTCGTACTGAGCGTTATGTTACTGAACGTACTTACATCAGGATTAAGTAATGGAGTAATTTTGAATAAAAGTTAAAAAACACGAGTCTTTCTAACCAAGTCCTATAAAAGGATAATATGAAGTGGTTATCACCTACAGAACAACTAACAACCACTGGAGAAAGTGAATTTTTTTGAGGTTGTGAAGCTACAAAAACTATTTTGAGGACAACATTAAATACTGGGTAACTTGAATGCGACAAATAATTAGCTTCTTAACTAAATCCTAAAATGTATCAGTTTAGCGAGACACCGTAACCAACTATTATCAAGGAAGGATTGAATGTATAATTTCTTACAACAGACAAAAGAAAGCTTTGTTGTTAAAAATGACTCACTTGAAGATATGCCCCGACGCATAAAAATCACTAAATGATTAAACACTCCAATGCTTCCTGGAAGGGAGGTTAGATTAAGTCAGGTTGGATTAGATTGTTAAATTGGGTTAGGTTAGAATGGTGTAGCGTTAGATTAGGTTACAATTGAGGTGTTTAATCATCAGGTGGAATAGGTTGGGTGACTAATCTTCAGGTGTTTCTTTAAATAAAAATATTCATAGAATAATGTGGTTATAAGTGGCAGTGAAATGTCATCTTCTTGTCATCACACAAATGGCTTTAAAAAACAAACACACACCAAAACAAGAGAACTAAACAACCAAAAAAAGTGACCAGTTTTAAGACATCTAAAACAAAAGAGCAACGAAACTGACATTTTTCTTTGTTTTTGTGTTTTTTTTTTTAACATGAGACACCAGAATGGGCCAGCTTCAACAGACACCGCAACTGACCATTATCAACGGACACTAGAAGACCAATTGTCCATGACACCGAATAACAAAGACATCGAGAGAAAAGTTTCAAGGTAGACCAAGTTATCATCAAAACACCCGGAGATCACAATAATACACTTGGCTCCATGACTCACCAGGGAATTATAGATCAATACATCGAAACATTAATTTTTTTTTATATAGTAAAAGTGTGAACTATTTAAGACACCTTTAACGGGGATATGGCTGGTCAAATGGGGCCCCCAGTACTTAAAAGGTCCGAACTTATCGTCACCATTAAGATTAGGGCAAAGACAAAGTGGCTTTCAAAATTAATGGGAGCTTCATAAGATTGGGCCTCAGCCTATTGGAAGTTCATTGGGATTAGGTTCTATTTGATAAAAGGGTCATCTTGAGATCTTACCGGGATAGGAGTGGAAGGAGAATTTCACCAACTATTGGAGTCACTCAAGATTTTTTATGAATTACACACAGAATTGTCTCAAATGTCTTCAGTTTTTCTTTAATTCCTTCTTTTATTTTATTTTTGTTTCCCTGCCACTCAAATCCCAAGTTATACAGCGTCTCAACACTCACGGCCGTGTTACTTATACTTTGTGAACACTACGCGTCTTTACTGTTCTTATATAGTGTACTGTACCTCCTTATTTTTGACACTGGCAGTCAATAACTACAGTATTGTGACGTTATGAAGGAAACATCCTCTGATTGGTTACACATCATCTTTCTCCCCAGAAATAGCAAATCAGAGGGTTACAGTGTTGTGATGTAATGAAAGAGAAAACTTCTGGTTGGTTACCCACCAGAATTTTCCTCCAACAGAGCCAATCAGAGGGTTACAGTGGTATGACTTGAAACATCTGATGTCTTCTATTATGTTTGTAGCACGATTTCCAAATACTGTCGGAAACAGAGTTAACATCAAACATCAGTGTAAAAAATGTCTCATGTACACAAAACAAAGAGATCAATCGTGAGAGAACTGTAAACACCGTAAGATTTGAACATTTAGGTCTAACATTACAATAAACCTTTAAAGGTTAATAAATAAATATATATAAAAACTTAAAAGTCTTGATCAACACACACATACAAAGTGAAGATAAAATATTTTTTAAATCATTCGGAAAAGTCATAAATAAAAAGTATAGTGTATTCGTGTGTCTACAAGATGGAAAATTAAACTCACGAAAAATAAACTGGACAACAACACTCTGATGCACCTTGGATAGAGAACACCCACGGGAGTTATGACGCCACCACCTGTCTACCACAGCTAACATTACTCTTGTACAACTATGTAACCCACAACGGCTCAAGTTACTGTGTCGACCAAAATATTACGACTGCCTCCACCGTCAGTAGTACAGTACTACCCCCCTCAGACAGCAGTACTGCCTCCCTCAGACAGCAGTGCTGCCTCCCTCAGACAGCAGTACTGCTTCCCTCAGACAGCTGTACTGCCTCCCTCAGACAGCAGTGCTGCCTCCCTCAGACAGCAGTACTGCTTCCCTCAGACAGCTGTACTGCCTCCCTCAGACAGCAGTACTGCCTACCTCAGACAGCAGTACTGCCTCCCTCAGACAGCAGTACTGCCTCCCTCAGACAGCAGTACTGCCTCCCTCAGACAGCAGTACTGCCTCCTTCAGACAATAGTTCTAGTAGGCCCCAGGGGAGGGCATACCCGGGTCAGCCATCTGGACCTGTTGACCACCCTGGGCGATGTCACCACTCCTCCAGGCCTTAAACTTGAAGAAGGCATCAGCGCCGTACAGGATCATGGCCACGAACCCGAAGAAGGAAGCAGCAGCGGCTCCGGAATCCACACCGCCCCAGGTAGCACACGCCACCGCCGCCGTCAGGTAGAAGAAACACCATAAGGCGCAGTATCCAAACTCCTGTAACACGCAGGTGGTTGTAGATTAACTAGACAACGACAACAAAACAGAAATAACACCTGTTGACCTATAAAGACACCCTGACCTCATCTTGATCTATACAGAGATGAAAGTCCGTTATTTGGAGGTTTCACTGTATATCCTACCGGTGACATGCTTATTTGACCCTAGCAACCGTTCGGCTAGTCTGAGGCATTAAGGTTGCTAAGGCCAGATGAAGGATGTGTGGAAGCTTGTCTGACAGATCACCCAAGCCTAACCTAACAATCTATCTATCTACCAATCTAACTATCTATTTATCTAACTACCTAATTATCTATCAATCTATCTATCTATCTATCTGTCTATCTACTGTATCTATTGATCTATATATCTATCCATATATCTCTATATCTACCTATCTATCTATTTATCTATCTACCTACCTACCTATCTATGTACTATACCTATTATATACATACCTATCTCTCTACTGTACACACCTATCTCTCTAACCTATACCATTCTACCCATGACATCCATCTGCAGCACCTCCATAAACCACCTACCAGCATAAGCCAAGGCACCATGTAGAACCGCTCCAGTACGTGCATCATGTAGAGAACCAGTAGTATACCAGTCACCCAGAACCCGGTCATGGAGACGAAGGAGAACCAGTTAGCATGCGAGTAACTGTTAAACGTAGAGACCGCTGCGCATATGTAACCTATGAGATTGAACACCTAGGTGGGAGAGATGGAAAAGTTAGCTATGGTATGGTAGTGTATGGATGGAAGGGGGGAGTTTGGAAGAGTTAGGTTAGGTTAGGTATATGGATGGAAGAGGTGGGAGTTAGGTTTTACTAGAATTTACCTCTAATAATAATTATAATAATAATAATATGGCGATGAATAAAGAAGAGGAAGACGTTAATTTTCAAGATAATAAACATCATTTTAACCTTTAGCAAACTAACAACTTACTTTATTAAGTAATATATTTCCAAGCATAAACAGGTAAAGAGCAACAAGATACAGTATTAAAGTTTTATGGAAACGTTAACAGCTGCCGCGCCACCCACAAAATTAATTTCAGCGGAATTTGATGATAAAACCAATAATTAGGAAGATTATATCCACTTAGTATACTGTAATGAACTATAGTGGTGGCAATCGCTATTATTTACCATTTACATTTTCCTTACGACTGAATTTCTTTGTACAAATTGTAATAATAAAATAACAGAATAGAGAAGTCCATATTATAAACTATTTTCTCAATGAATTAACAATATTTTGATAAAGATAGATTGAATATTTCGGTCTTATTGATATTCTTATAGTTAATAAATGCTTCAGTAATTATTAGGATTCAAAATGAGTAAAAATTTCGATAATTACTAAGGTTTTAAATATAACAAATATATCAGTAATAATTCAGTTCATCGTTGCCAAATTTCAGTGCTTCAAGATGACGTCAAGCTGAAAAGACCTGCCGAGACGAGTGCACTTTGAGAGGTATAAATGACGGCTTCTCTATCTCCCACACACACACACACACACACACACGCTTCCCCTCACACCATGAATGTCTCCACCTATCAACCCCTCCGTCCTGTTGCACCTCCATGTCCTCTTGATCAAGCGGAGGTAAGATTTCTATTAGCTTTACCTTACGGGGAGAACAATAGGTCATTGCCTCCTTAAATAGCCGAGGTAAGTTTCTGTTTATAGTTTGGGAACTGTAGGAGATGTTTAGACTTGTATTTTAGTATTAATTCATTCAATATATATTTTGTTTTTTTATTAATCAAAGCAGGAAACGGCGTGATAACTTCTGTGGCCTGTAATAGGTTAGGTTAGGTTAGAAAAAGAATACCCTATTTTTCTAGAAGATCGACAAAAATCCCAAAACGACCATAAGTAATAGATGAAAAATAAGTAGAAAAGTAGATATAAGTAAACACTGAAACAGACAAATAGGTATAAGTAACAAAAATAATTATTAACTAAGACCTAACTTAAAATATATACATAAAGAATAATTTACTCACAATTTGGGCGATCTTCAGCATGCCGGGTATGTTGCGGAAGTTGATATAGGTGGGGTCGAATCTGATGTTTCCGGCTGGTCTGGGTTGAGGGGCGGCTGTTGCGGTGGCAGTGTGGGCCGGGAACCCTGGATCAACCATTTCTCCCTCCATCTGTTAACACCAGCATTGAGTTATTGTCAATTACATGGCTTGCTTTAGGTTATTGAAAATTATATGCTTATTTTAGAGCATTGTAAATCATACGGTTATTTTGGGGTATTACAAATCATAGTTATTTAAGGGCACTGCAAATCATATCACCCTGTTTATTTATTATTGCAAAATCACACAACCATCTCATACTCCAGTTAAGACTTACATGGTAATCATTTCTTCTACATGGAATCCTGCTCACGCTCTATCACTGTTGGATAATTATTTTTTTAAAGAAAGTTATCTCACCAGGCCAGTACCTCATATTCTCCTCCTTATCACTCCTGCACGCTAAAGTCTCTCCATATTGTTACTTTTTTCTGCTTCACTTTACATACCCAGAAACTTCAAAAACTTTCAGCATTCCTCTCTACACCACATCTCAAGTAGTGTAACAGGAAATGCCACACCAAGAATAGCTTTTCACAGTCTTCATAATTGCGCTTATTTTCATTTCCTTTCACTTAGGCTGGGGAGTTTATCCGTAATAATAAATCTACCCCTTCAAAAACTACTGATGACCTGAAGATTAGACACCCCGACTTATTTCACCTGATGATTAAACACCTTAACCTAACCTAACCAAACCTGACTTAAAAGTTAACATACCCTAAGCTAAACCTAACTTAATTCCCTCAGGTAGCGTAGAGGTTAGCGTTGGAGCATTTAATCACGTGAAATAAACTGAGGAGGGAAGGGGGGCGCTAACCTTCTGGGGATCCTAAAGATGCTTAAAAACATAATGTGCAGACGCCTGAATGGAGCGAGCTGACGACAAACGCAATATCCTGCCAGTGGTGAGTAGACGCACTCATCCTGTGTTATAATCAGGAATTTCCAAAGTAATGGGATTTTGTTGTATTTACGGTAATATACTGGATATTGCTGTGTATTGTGTACTGGGTGGTGTAGTAAACTGTGTACTGGTTGGTGTAGTAAACTGTGTACTGGGTGTAGTAAACTGTTACTGGGTGGTGTAGTAAACTGTGTAATGGGTGGTGTAGTAAACTGTGTACTGGTGGCATTGTAAACTAAATTGTTTGGTCATGTAGTAAGCTATGTGTACTGTAAGAGACTAAGGTTTGGCGACTTCAAGTAACTGTGGTAGCCTATCGGTAGCTTTGGAGATTATTCAGAAACGAGCAGCTATTTCGGAGTAAACGCTGGATAAAGGCCATTAGTTTACCACGCTACATGGAACAAAATGTGATTCTTACTCAAAATGAATGAAAACTATATACTGTACGTAGTACAAGCCTGTACGTACTGTATATAAAATACAGATATACAGTGGCATCTCACAGCAGGGAGTGTAATTGACATTTACTGTGATTGGTTGGATTCCAATGCCAACGACGCATGCGCTACGTTACAGTATTTTTTTTTACGGGGATTAGCCCACCCGGGCTCAGGTCACTGACCCACATCGGGGCCTGGGGACGAAAATGTAATAATAATAATAATAATAATAATAATAATAATAATAATAATAATAATAATAATAATCCAGATAAGTAAAAATAAATAAAATAAAAATAAAATAATAACAATAATAATAACAACACTGCAATAATAATAATAATAATAATAATAATAATAATAATAATAATAATAAAGAACCATAAAGAAATACAAAAATGATAAAAAGATCGAGTGAGAAACAATATATGTATGTTGTGTTGTCAATGGTAAGAGAAACAATTGAGACCCTGCAATTGTGTGTAAATGAGGCAGAAAGTCAGATCAGCAACCTGGGACTTGGTCACATATGGCAGCAGGGTCTACCATTAGACAATACAATATGCTTCCAATATCTTCCCAGGCGGTAGTACCTCCTGTGTGTATGTACAGTCTCGTTCAAGATTCTTGGAACACTGCTGGAGACAGCTGGCAACTCAACGCCGTTTGTTTACTATAGTACGTAGCATAATATAATACGAAACAACAAAGCCCAACCAGTAAACTAAGCAACGGGGAACTAAGTAACCAATCACCGATCACTTTTACATTTATTCTTAATTTTTACGATTTACTAAAGTAAACAAACGGCCTTGAGTTGCCAGCTGTCTCCAGCAGTGTTCCAAGAATCTTGAACAAGACTATACAAACTTGTAGGGGTATCGAGATATTAATGTTGTCTAGCACTCAGGATGGAAGGAAACTCTAATGTGGTTTTCTTGTATAATATAAGTTATATGATAGACAGTCTGGTGCTGGAGGTGCCGTGTGGTGAGGGGCCAGCGTGGAGCTTGCTGGAGGAGGTGTTGCTTGTTCAGGAAGATGGGCAGAATGAGAGTTGGTTGGTGAGGAAGCTCAGAGAAGGACAGCTGGTGGGTCGCCATGCTCGCTGGCGGGAGCGAGGACCGCCAGGCAGGCGAGAAGCGAAGGCAGCCAGGCAGCGGCGGAGGAGGAGGTGTTGCTTGTTCAAGAAGAATGGTCAGAATGAATCTCAATGGAGAGACAGAGCTTATATACCCAGCAGCAGCTATGAGTCATGTTGGGAAAACCCGAGAAGTCGCCGGTTCCTGGTTCCGTTGCTAAGATACGGTAACATCTGGTTGGTTGCTAGGGAAGGCGGTAGCAGGTGGTGGCTGTGGCTACGCAGTTGTAGGCAGTTGTAGGGGAGACGTCCACTACAAACTCAAGGTCTGTACAAGACACTTATAGATTAAACTCAGGCTATGGACCCAAAACTCATCAGCGTATAGAAAATCTATTCGGGCACCCCATTTGTCTGTTATCGTGTTTCCAGATAATTAAATCCCCGCCGTACACACACGTATCGACAACAAACGCACACAAAATTACAGCAACAGTACCACAAATGATGTAGCTGTGACTGGAAGTTAGTACCGTGTATCTTGGCTGTCCGTAAGAACATAGTAAACTGATGCCAATTAAGGACGCAAGCGTGGTTGTTTAACATCCGGTCCGAGCCGTAGCAAGTACACATATGGTGCAGTATGATTTCGATATAGGAATAACTGCCTGTGACACTGTTGATCGGCTTGCCAAAGAAGCTACACAAGAAGATACTGAAGCCACTCTCGCCCTCTCCCTGAATCATCTTAAATCTCGCATACACGCCACACAACGAGAGGCATTCAACGAAAATTGGACACACCTGAAACAACGGGGTAGCGTCACACTATGCCACTATGACGCTGTAACCGGTGACGACAACCGCCACTACAAAGAATATCAATCCTTGACTCGATCTCAACAGCTTATATACATGAGACTGCGCCTAGGGTACAGGTACCTATGGGAGTACATTGGCAACCCTGAGCTTCACCGCACTGTTTGTAAACTTTGTGGCCGACCCGACTCTCACACCCTCTCTCACTACATCCTCACTTGCCCTATGACCTCCTCCTACAGGTCCCCAGCCGTTACCAACACCTCTTCCCTCCCAGACCAGATATCCCTCCTCCTAGTCACAGGCCTGGCATTTGACATTATTAGGGACCTGCCACTCTTTGCCATAAACAGATAAAATGTACCGGGAACTTTCCCCCCACACACTCATCATTCTGTCACTTTATGTAACTTGACAGAACCTATGACCCTTCAGGCTTTTACGCCCTTAATGTACGAGTCATGAAGGCAAATATGAACTTTTCATACTTCACTGTTGGGCGCTGTAAACGCTTCTGCGCTTCACCTTGCACAGGATGTAAGGGGGTGCCCAATAAACTAGCCCCCTCGGGGGCAAATCTGAAATCTGAGTATGATTTCGCTCGACTGTAATATCGAGTTAGTTACGTGGACTGTACTATACATCTGTTAACCACGCCTAAAGTTTGTATTGTATTGTATTTATTATCCTCTACATTTCTACAACATCTAGTATTGCATTGAGTTTTCAGTTACAATCCACATACAAGTATTTTATTTATTATTATTTTTATTAGAGGTATATGGTGGTTTTGTTATACTATTTACCATTGTATACCTACACTGTACATTGTTTGAATACCATTACTTTCTATGCACAGTTTGTATACCTGCAGTACACACATTTATACACACTATGTACTATATACATCGTGAATATTATCTACACTGTCTATGGACATTATATACCCGCATTGCTTGCATACTTGCTGAATCCACGTGAACCTGCGTAACCACGGTTAATGTTTATCTATCTGCAACGGTCAAGCTCTGGGGTGAGACGGCGTGATGCGTGGAGGCCGCTAACTGACCACTGCTATACTGCTCCAGGGCTTCCATACTGGGAGAGGTTCACACCATGAATATATATCATAACGGAAGACTTACTTTTTTTTTTAGTTTAACAAATTTATTGGCTAAGTTTGGAGTACAGTTTGCCTATTCTGCGTAATTCAGTCAGGTCTTGACACTTCTCACAGCCACGCAGGACAGAGGTTCATACACAAAGAAATACATCATATTCATTAGCAGTATATATAGGTCAGAGTCATGTGGGTGATGTCACTAACGAAGACGGAATAATATAAATAAAAACTAAAACTATAGAAAAAAAGCATTACAGTGCCCGATTCCTAAGAAAAATAATTAAGGGCGTTAAAGTAAACTTCCAAACACTTTTACGTAAGTTATTATAAAAATGAACGAATATTTTATAATAACCAAATTAATGATAACGATCTATGAAATTTATGAGCCAATGATGATTGAGTAATTGGAAGAAAGTTTATTAGTTATAGGGTGATTAATATTCATTTGAAATAAAATGGTGTGGCGAGTCTTCAGGTGACCCTAGATAGATAGATATACGTTGTAATATAAAAATACAGTATAAGTTCACATTGGTTTAACTTAACATGTCCATATTAGTCAATTCATCCGTGTTTGGATTATTTCACCGTTAAATTCATGAAAATGCCTTATGTTTATAGCTGGCAGAATACATTTGTTTCTGTTAGAAGGCCAAATTGACTAATTAGAGCCGCCGCTCATTAAAGCATACC